GAGCGGTTTAACCCTTCTAAAAACAGACGAGGCCTCATTTGTTGCAGGAAGTCAGACTGGGTTGCTCTGATTCTTCAGTTGAACATTTATTACACGCAGCCCTTGTGCTAACTTACTTACTTTCTTTTTGTTCAGGGTAGTCCCGGGTTTTTGCTTTTGTTTTTTTAGGATGAGTGCAGCACAGCCTTTTACCCCAACAGCCAAGTAGGAAAGAAATAGAGATGATCAGTGCTGAGTACCAAGAAAAAGCAGGTAGGTGGAGAGTTTTGCTTTGCTGTAGCTGCATGAACCTGGGTGAACTCCACTTTGGCCAGTTTCACGAAGTCAAAAGAATGCTTTGGGCCTTACTATCTGTAATAATTAGGATATGATCATTTCTCAAACAAACACTCAAGCCTGGTGAATGGTTGAAATTGTATACCTCCAGAGGGTCCGAGTAGTAGGCAGAATTGTTCTCATGGTGTCGAAAGCGGATGGCATGCAGAAAGCAAGTTCATCTATGTCCAACGCTGATACCGCCAAGGGAGACAGACACAGTAGGGATTCTGAGAGCCGTAAGCAGAGTGTTTGCAAAAAATCTGTCTGGAATCAGAAAAACTTTCAGTGGTGAGTGCCTGACTGTCCCCCAGAGCGAGCATGGCTGGGGGGACAAGAGAAGGAGGCCTGGTGCCATGGTCTTCCAGAGTGAGCCCACTCTTGGGCCAGCCTCCCTCGTTAAACTGCCAGGAGTGGGTGGGGAGAACAATGGAATTATTTAGGATAGCAACTTGGCTGATGATTTATCAAAATTATCTGGGGAGCTTAAAAAAATTCCTAGATTACTTAGAATGTCTGGGGCCTGAGAAATTGTGTTTTTAAAGGAGGCTCTAGAAATTGTGCTGCGGTGTGAAGCTGTTTTAAAATTACTCATGAATCGTACTCATTCACAGAAGGAACCCCACTTACCCATTTTATTTCAACCATGGAGAATGACTACAAAGCAGAGGCTGCATCTGAAGAAAATTTCTCAAACCCGACAGTGTTACAGTAGAACAGAGTTCACACGTGGAAACCGCGCAGTGGCCCAGCCCAAATCCTTTATCCCCCGGGAGGCCTGGTCAGAGCTCCTGACCAGGACACCAGTGGGGCGGACAGGCATGTACTCTTTCTGGAGGGCTGAACTGTCACTAAGTCGTGGGTGACAACTTAGACCATTTGAGGATTAACTTGAGTGTAAAAACAAAATTCAAACTGTTTCCTTCAGAGCTTGAGTTTTCCTTAAGTTCACATTTATAAATTAGTCTTCACAGTTAATCCTATTTGGGAACAAGAAATAAATGAACACATTTCTGGTTTCCTACAAATAATACAGTTGTACATTAACTCTTGACTTACATGGTCCATGGACTTCAGCTTTGTGAAGGGGTGAGTGGCTACCATTTTTGGATCGTCTACAATGTACTGTAAGGCAACTTACATATTTTATTTCAGATTCTGTCAGCAACCCTGAAGGTAGATGTTATTAGTCCCATTTTACAGACGAGGCAACAGGCTCAGAGAGGCTAAGAAACTTGCCCAGGGTCATGCTAGGAAGGTGCAGAACCAGAACTTGTACAGAGAATAGCCTGAGGGCAAAGCCCGCATATTTTTCGTATCCTGTGCTTCCTTCTCATGGAGGAAAACACTTAACACTGATCATTAAGTGAACTGCCAGCATTCAAGCAGGTGAGGTGCCTAGTACTAGCAGGTATTCAGGAGAGGATGGCTGAGCCGGGCTGCACAGAAAACACTCATGGCTTTCAAATACTATTTGCCTCTATACCAGATGCTGGGTTCGCCTCATCGTCATTCATCAAGTTATAAACGTAGATAAAAATATTAGGAAAATCTCCACTCTACTTAAAAAATTATTTCCACTTTCTCCCCTTACAAGGGAGTAAATTAAGCACACAGCTTGATTGTTTGAAAAGATTCTAAGAGCTAGACCAAACTTACTACTAACCATTTTAAAAGGCTCACTACAAATCACACAGTCTCCTGGATTCTCCTGTTAGTTCAAACCTTGACAGGTCATTGAAGGAATTATCCGAAAGATTCACATTACAATCCAGATATAAGAGGTGCCTCAGTGGCTCACTGAACCATCCACCATTGTTAACAACCCAGCTGAGAGTGTTCACAACAGTTTAAAGAAAGGACTTTCAAATTTGACCACCAGTAACATGTGACCAGTGCCCCGCTGAACCCTCTTGTCTTAGTTGGTCTCGGCTACCAGGTGGCCACTTTGGAGAGAAGACTCAGGTAAGGCAGAGCGGTGTGGCTTCTGAGAAGGCGCGCTGCATCCACGCTCAGGTGCTCGAAGCCCACACGTGCATCTGTTTGGCAACCTGGTGCACGTAGCTGATGTCGGGTCTCTGGTTGGGGTCGGGGTGGATGCACATACTGACCAATTCTCGTAACTGCAAGGGAGAGAATGATACGTATTATTCGTAAGCAGCCTCGTCGAGGCTCTGCATTAACTCATGAACCCTCAGGGCAACTAGAAGATGAGGAATGGCGCTCAAGACAGGTGAGTGGTGGGTGAGGAGTCACAGTCACCAGGGGACCCGCACCAGGCCTGTCTGGCCCCAAAGGCCATGCCTGGAGACCCTGAGAGTGGTATCTCCAAATAATTTTGAACTTTCAACTGCCTACACTACTTGCTAGATCTTTGTGTACAGTGTGTGTGTCTGCTGTCAGTCATGCAGATGCCCAAACCAGAGGACAAAACTCAAGGCAAGGGCTTATTGATCATAATAAATGTATTAACATGCAGCAGAGCTGCAGTCTGCCTACCCCCTGGCCTCTTTATTGTGCTCATGAAAGACGGAGCTTTTAATTATACAGACACTGAAGGCTGCTCCTGCCTCGGGGTGGGGGAGGGGCACCTTGATCCTCTGATCACCTCCATTCTTCTGATAGCCAGAGTGCCAATTATTTTAATGGTAATTAAAATAATGACCTTAAAAAGCCTACATCTTAACTTGCATCACTGGGCTCACGGCAATTTTTTCATTTAAATACCTGCTGCTGGCGGGGCTGGCCAGGGCCGCAGCAGGGAGAGGGGAGATCCTGACTAAGGGGGCTCACGGGGACTCCGCGGCCATGGTCAGCAAGTCTGGGGTGGGCACGAGGGTCATGCGGACACGAGGGTCAGCAAGTCTGGGGTGGGCACGAGGCCCAGGCTACGGTGCACACTCTGTGTTTCACTCCTGAGGTGTTCTAGGCTGAGGGGCCCGCGATTGCTCCCCCAGGAGATGCTCCAAACTGCCTGCTGCCTTTCTGGGGATTTCACGGCTTTATAAACACTCGGAAGCCCCTGGGCAGATGCAGCTGTGCCTGCAGCCGGCTTGGACACTCCTGGAGTCTGAGGTTGCCCACGATGAGCCCATACTCTTCAGAACCCTACAGTATTCAGGGGAAGGTAGCTGTGGTTGGCCTCTGACAGGTTAAAGTGCCCAAGAAAACCACATTAAGGTAAAGTCTCTGTGGCCCGAATTGCTCATTTGTAAACCACACAGTTGGCAATAAGTGCATGTTTGAAAAGTTCAGAAGAGAAAGTGTCTTATTTCCATTTCTAAGAGGACATATAACTTCAAAAGTGAGGTGTGCCGAGGAGCTCCAGTGCTAAGAATTAGCACCTCCAGAAGCTGCACGTAACTGGTGAAAGCCAGGAGCTCTGGACGCTGAAGGACTGACTTGGGAGGGAAGAGGGTTGAGGGCTTTATGTGGATTCGTTCATTTCAGCTTCATAACCATGAGGCAGAGGTTATGGTTCCCATTTATAGATGGAGAAACTGAGGCACAGAGAAGTTGTCATTTGCTCCAAGTGGCATGGCTCCAAGCTTCTTAACAAATTCCAACAAACAGAATTCCAAATTCTAACGAAAGATGGGGAAGAAAAAGCAAATGCAACTATTAACTTGGTGAAGAGCTCTAACTAGTTTTTCCTTTCCTGTCAACTTCCACTCCGGAGCATAAGTACTTCCTCCAAAGGTACTCATAAGAACTCTGTAGGAATCTGTGCTCCTGACCCTCACTCTGGCTGCTGGGAGTCCGCAGAGCCGCAGGCATGGCACTGGGAGCAGAGGGTGCCAGGAGAAAGGTGGCTGATGACCTTTCTAGCTGGCCTGCCGGGATACAGGGTTAGTGCCCACTGGGGCACCTGGTTGCTACAGCTTGGCTGGCCCAGACCCAGGGCCCTGGTGGGCAAGGGCTGCTCCTTCCAGAGCTTTCAGGATTGTGAAGTGAGCAGCATGGACGGCTCCTCACTCTGGCTGGACGACTGGCTATAGAAGAGGGGCGGGAGCGCTCAAGAAACAGGATAGCGCAGTGGCTAGGTGCAGGTCATCTGGGTCAAACCCTGCCTTCACCACAAGCAAGTTAACGTGACTTGGGCAAGTTACTTAACCAGTCTGTATCTCAGTTTCCTTCCTGGTAAAATGGCATTAGTGGGGTGGGGTACGGGGGCATTCAACACAGTACATCATAAATGTGAGCTGTTATTATTGTGAGGCAGTGGCCTGTGGTCCTGCAGGGTGGACCCATGGAGGACTCAGACTCCCGATTACATGCACTAGCATTGACCTTGAACAAAAATAACCCATATTGAGCATTTACCCTGAGCCAGGCCCTGTGCTACAGCCAGATGATGATGGTTGTAAATGCATTGCCTTAATCCTTAATCCAGTAAGGTAGATTCCAGGATTATCCCATTTTACAGATGAGGAAACTGAGACTCAGTGATTCCCCCAAGAAAGGTGAGGGGAGTGTGTAAACGTATGCATCTGTTTACACTTTTTTTTTTTTTTTTTTCGTGTCCCCTGCATCGGCAGGCGGAATCAACCACTGCGCCATCAGGGAAGCCCTGTTTACACTCTTAACCATGCTGTGCTGTAAGCCTGTCATCTCATCCTCACTTTTTATCCATGAAGGCAAAATATTAGGCCTGTTTTCAAGATGAGGGAACTGAGGCAGATGATGCTCTCCCACAGCCTCACCTGTCACAGCCTGATGGCCAGACCTGTCAGGCTGTCCTGCACTCGGTGTAAAATGTTGAAAATAAAAGGCCAAGGGGTCTGACCTAGGTCTGTGGTGGCAAGGAGACCAGGCTGTTTGGTTTGGTTCCCTGTCATGGGAGCGGAGTGGCCGCCGGCAGTGGTGTGGGGCTGGCCAGGCCCTGCTACCCCCTGCGTCTGGCTCCTGTTGCTGGACTCCGGGAGCCTGTCTCCGGGCCCCGCAGCAGCGAGCCTCCCACTCGAGCGCTGGGTTGGGAGCCAAACGGGCAAGAGGGTGCTGACGGGGCAGCTCCTGCTGGTTCCTGCCAGTGGGTGGCCTGCAGCCCTGCTGTCGGGGGGCCCACACTGGTCCCTGAGACCTCCGGTAAAATCAGCCTGCTTGTTTCCCCTTCTGAGTCACTTCCCCAGAAATCTTCCTTCTCGGCTCTGTTAAGTGAACCCAAGCTCAGCCCCACAGCCCTGGGATCTTGGAGCTGCCCTTCTCCGAGCCCTGCGAGTCGCCTGGAGCTCACCAGGCCCAGCCCTGGCGGCAGCAAACTCACCTTCTCAGAGTAATGTTCTCCGGGGAGAGGTGGGTAGTCACACTGCTCAATCTTCTGGCAGAGGGAGAAGAGGTTCATTTTATCTCCATAGAAGGGGCTCTGAAGAGCTGCCATCTGCAAGGAGAGGGGGATGAGAGATGAGTTTTCAGCCTTGAGGTCCAGGGCAAAAGGGGCCGCTCCAGATGGGGGTGTGGTGCTTCCGGGTCCTCACCGCAGCGGCTGTCCAGCCAGACTCCCCTGTGTCCTGAGGAAGCTGGGGTTCAGCAGAAAGTGGCAGTTTTTACACAATCCTTGTTATGTAAGCAAATTAAACAGGACAAAAGTTTCACTGACAAAACTGTAAAGTCACTAAAGAAGGGGCAGCTGAGTCCTGAGGGCCACCCGTGAGCAGGCACACGCCTGGCCTCTGGTTTCCTCATCTAAATGGACGCAGCTCCACCTGCAGGGGCTGTGGTGAGGCTTGGCTGGCACAGGAGGCATCACAACCTGAGTGGACATCATCTGGCTCCATCCCGAAAGCAGGCCCTCTGCTGGGGGACCGTGGAGGCCCCAACGGGTTCTCACCCAGTCCGGGAACTACCCGGACTTCCCACCCCACCATTCAGAGCACGACGGCGGGGTGTCTTCAACAGGGGCACACAGGAGCCGTGAGCTGCCCGTGAGGCAGCCCAGCACGGAGCCCGCCAGCCCCATCTGCTGATGACTCCGCAATGGGATTCAAGCTGCGTGTCACTCCCGCTCACTGTTGCCTGCCTCCAAATGACGGCCCGACACCTCCTGCTAATGAAGTGCCTTTGGGTGATTGTGCCCGCCTGTCTGTTTGGCCGTGGTTCCCTTCAAGGAGCTGGGCTGCCAGGGCCACTAGGCACAGACTCCACAGCCAGGGCCTGTGGGACACCTGAGGAATCCTCACTCCCCTTCAGGCTCCGGGAGGTGGGTGGGCGAACCCTGTCTCCAGGCTGGGGGAACCCGTGGTAGCCCATCAGCTTTACTTGCCTGGTCTGCCCCATGCTCTGTTCACCCCTGTGAACAGGTCAGGTAATCCCAAGAGGAAGAGCAGGGCTTGCCTCCTCCAGAAGAGCACAGGGGCCTTCAGAGCCCAGGCAGTGCCCTTGGGCGTCCAGATGGCCTTGGGAGAGGCAGTGTGGCCTGGAGACTTGGGGGTTTCCTCTGACCCAGGTCAGGAGTCTGCCCCGGGCAGCACCTGTGGGCCAGGTGCCTGGGACCTGACTGAGTGCTTTCACGTGGGTGTCTCCCCCTGACCAGGGGCTTGGGCCCCTCTGAGGAGGGCTGGGAACCCACCTGGACGGTGAAACCCACCCCTGCGGGAAGGCTGCGGGGAGTGGCCCTGGCACTTGGTGGGGCAGGATGAGTATGCAGACGCTCTGCCCCCGGTGGGCTCAGGCAGCCTGACTGAACTGGCTTTACCATCTAGCATGCAAAATGGCATCACCTGGGTGATGTATTTCCAATAATTAAAATGAGAACCTCGGGTGCAAAGGGTTAATTGGGCAGTTTCAAAAGGACATCTGTTGCTACAGTAGAGAGCAGCTGAGGCTCCAGGGCAGTCATTCGGGGTGATGTGGTGCCCTTCAAGTCATGGCAGGAGGATTAAGATGGATTTTCCTGGAAAGCGTGTCTGTTCAGAGTAGAAAGGATGTCGGCCCCACTAACACAGGCTCTGGTTTTCACGTGTCTGACCTGGGAGAGGGACTGGGTGATCCTTTCAACAAGCCAGTCTGATCTGATTTGCACAAAACTTGCTGTGTGGGACTCCAGAAGAGCCCCAGGGTGGCGAGGCATGAGCCCCGTATCTGCCGTTCCCTTCAGAGAATCTCTCCATCCTTCCTGGCACCTTCCCCACACTGTTTCAGAAAAGCTTTCTGAACAGGGTCAGCAGTGAGCTATGCCAGAGGAGCCCTCTCCGCCTCCCTGGTTCCCAGTGGCTTCTGCATCCATAAATGCAGATTCTAGCGGAAGCAGCGTCCCCGCCTGCTGCCCTCCAGCTGCCGGCCACGGGCCTTCCACCCAGATCAGAGCACTGGGCTGTGAAGGAACCTCTGGGGCTGCTTGAGACACTGGGATTAGAACGGTTACCCCGGATGGCGAGATCTCCCCGTACCGGCGACCACCCACCTCTGGTTGAAGCAGAGGAGGAACTGCTGTTTGGGGCCTCGTTAGAACTGCCAAAGCCACGGCTCTCGGCGCTGCTCCTCAAATGCAGAACTTTTCCTGCCTGGCGTTACTGGGATGACACATAGCCGGGGAAATGGGAGAGTGTGGCCACTTGCCCCCGCCGGGAGGGCTCAGGGAAACTGGTGTGTGATTTAAGATGTCAGAAGGAGAAGGGGATTCTGACTCAGAGTGGACAGCCACTGCCTTTGACTCTGGCCCTCTCAGGGCCTCGGACATCCATCTCATCACCAGTATCTCCCAAGCTCTTCCAGGAGTGAAGGTTGAACCCGGAGGCTAGTTGCCAAGCAGTCTGCAGCCCTGCTTCCCCACGAGGGGAAGCCAGAATTCCAAAGCAGGATTCCATACAAGGCACAGCTGAACCTGTCCCCTGGCCCACTTTCTTGCTGGTCTCAGCCTCCTCAAGCTGAGGCTGCTGTAAGAAGGCCCCCCCACTGAGGATCCTGATTCCTTCAGCTCTGTGCTCAGAGCTGAGCTCCCATAGAAAAATAAATAAATCCTGCAGAGCCCAGGCAGCCTGCTGAGTGCCTCCACGGGGTGTGCCGGGTAATGAAAATAAAGCGCCGGGTCTTCCAACAGGCCAACCTTGGGCATCCCTGCCGGGAGCTCCTGGAGGGGCCACTGAAGTTGCTGGGGGATCCTCACAACCGGGCCTTCCCCTCAAAGGGGCTCTGAGCAGAGGCCCTGCATCTTTCTCCACCAGTCACGTCTTCCCTGGTGGCTGGAGAGAAGGGGAGAGGCCCTGGCTCCACAAGGACCACTGGTCCCTTCCTGGCTCCTGTTCACTGGAGGGCAGGCATCGACACCCTGGGTACCAGTGCCCATCTAGGTCACTTCCTTGCTGTGTGACCCTGGGAGGTCTCTCCGCATCTCTGAGCCCGCTTTCTCCCTTACAGCAAAGCTGGGACTGGCCTGGTGTGATTCTTGTGATTCACTACAGTGTCCAGGGCAGTGCTGCTCCCGGAGGCTGAGCTGTCTGGTCCGTTTCTCCTATGCTGACCTCTTCAAGACAGATCCCACTTGGCACCCACCCTGAGGAGCTCAGGCCAGGTATCGTGCTTTGTGGCGGCTCCTCACTAGCCACGGGTCAACATCAGCATCTTAAGGTGACCTCGGGAGGTCCTCAGTGGACATCTGGACGCCCAGGTGGAAGGGGGTGTGGTGGGCTGGATAAAGGCCCCCAAAGATGTTCATGTCCTAATCCTTGGAGTCTGCGAATGCATTGCCTTATATGGCAAAATAAATTCGGCAGATGTGATGAAATTAAGGATCCCCGGATCGGGGGAGTGTCCCAGGTGATCCAGGTGGGCCCTAAGTGTAATCACAGTATCTTTATAAGAAGGAGCAGAGGGTGATTTCTGAGTACAGGAGAAGGAGGTGTGTTGACTTAAGTGATACGAGGAAGAGGCCACAAGCCAAGGCATGTGGGTGGTCTTTTCCTTGCCTTTAGTCCACTGAAATCGATTTTGGACTTCTGGCTTCCAGAACGGTAAGAGAATAATTTTATGTTGTATGAAGCCAATCAGTAATCTGTTACAGCAGCCGTAGGAACCTAACCCAGGGGGCTCCTGAGACTTCCAGCCCGCTCCGGGGCTTGTGGGAAAGGGCAGGCCTGTCCACACTCTGGGCAGGTTTTCTCCGGCTCTGTGCCGTCACCTGCCGCCCTGGCCCAGGTGTGTTCCCCTGGCTCTGCCCAGAATCCTCGGATGTGATCTGGGTGTGCGGGTGAGGTGGGCAGCCTGTCGCAGATCTACAGCTGGCGCCCTCAGGACGCACCACAGGCTGTGCAGCGGGGACTCCGGTCGTGTCTGGGGGTCGTTGCCTCCCAATTACCACGGCCCTTCCTGTCTGCTGGGAAAACGTCTGTTTCTGTCTCGGGGGTGGCAGCCTGGGGAAGGGCCCCCACCGCCTTTTGCCCTTAGATGGGCTGCCACACCAGCCCTCTTCTGCGGGAGGCCCAGGGCCACTGGGTTCAGGTCAGCTGTCCCCGCGGACGCAGGACTTGATTGATTTCATTGACTTGCTACTGCTGATACGCCCCTCCCTGGCTGCGAGCCTCAGTGATGAAATAAACCGGCACCTCCAGGCTGGGGCGCCGCTAACAGACGCTGCCTCTTTAGAAGTGCGTTTAGGTGCCCAAGGCAGGGACTCAGGACTGCAGTCTGCCTCTAGGAAGCTGGTGGCACCAGCTCGGGAGCCCTGAGCACAGGAGCAGGGCCCAGTCACACCCTCGTCTACTGTTTGTTTACGTTTGGAGACTCACACAGAGGCAGGAAGTGGCTTACAGAAATCCTGAACGCAGAATGGAAGAGTAAAGAACCCTGGACTCGGGACAGTATCCACGAGGGCAGGAGGACAAAGCCGAGTCTCCGAGGGGACAGACAACGGCTGGACTTTGGCTTCCTGCTGGCCAAAGAGAAAAGGGAAATGTGGCCAGCTGCTCGCCGGCACCAACTCAGGGGGCTCTTGGGCAGCAAGGTGGGCAGTAACAGTGCTGCAAAGACCTGCCCCGCACTGCTGGAGGGCCGTCTGAGCCAGGTGCCATCCACACCTCATGAGGCAGGTGTGACTCCCATTACACTTGGGCAACTGAAGCTCCTGGAGCTCCAGGGCCTTCAGGGGTGAGCGGGTGCTGAGCTCTGACCTTGGGTTGGTTCTTCTGACCGAGGTCTGGGCCACACCAGGCCCCGCCTCTCTCCCACCCAAACTACCACAGCTATGGGAGCTGCGTGCTCCCCACGAGGGAAGGATTCACAGTTTTGCCCTCCTCATCCCCAGGGGCCAGAAGCCACTCTGCACCCTCATCCACTGCAGACCCACTGGGGGCACCGCCTGGATGCAGCTGCTCCCGTTTGGTGCTCATTAAAAGAAGTCCTCCTGGGCCTCCCTGGTGGCGCAGTGGTTGAGAGTCCGCCTGCCGATGCAGGGGATACGGGTTCGTGCCCCGGTCTGGGAGGATCCCACATGCCGCGTAGCGGCTGGGCCCGTGAGCCGCGTAGCGGCTGGGCCTGTGAGCCGTGGCCGCTGAGCTTGCGCGTCCGGCAACGGGAAAGGCCACGACAGTGAGAGGCCCACATATCGCAAAAAAAAAAAAAAAAAAAAAAAAAAGAAGTCCTCCTACAACAGACACCCCTGTGAGTCCCAGAAAGCACGGTCTGCTCCCCACCTCTGACTGCCAAGGCCTGACTCACCCATAAACCTTCAAGATGATTCCGTGGAGTGCCCACACTATGGACCTCCAGAAGAAGGGGGGCTCAGGTACAAATGCCACAAGGGCCACATCTCCAATTGGCTTCATCTTTACCCACAAGGCCACTCTTTTAAAATGAAATGTCTGCTATTAATAGGAGGCCCCTGGCTTACAAAGAAAGATGCTGTGAAGTGTAAACCTTGCAGAGGGATCAGAGTTTTGATTTCATGGTCTCCGTCTGTAATGCAGGGAGCGGGGAATCCCAGTGCCAAGAGACCCTGACCGCATAGCTGCCCCGGTCCCTGTGCATCAGCAGTGGGCAGCTGAGTCCCGAAGTTTATACCCATGGGCCATGAGGTCAATTCCCAGCATTGATACTCCCAAGGAAGCAAAGAAGTCAGTCTCTGCAACTCCAAGACACTCCTAGTGGTCCCACAACATTATCCTGTGCATCACTGCCCTAGGAGACTCTTCAGCTTATCAGTTCCAAGCCAGATTCCAGGGATGCTCAAGTCCACCCCAGGGAGAGCAGAAAAATAAACAAGGTTCCAACTTTAAACCCAAACCATGCTTGGTGTCTCATAGCCCTAGAGGGTCCTCAAAGTCTTTCATAACTGTTATTTCATTCATCTGGCCTATGACAATGCAGGACAGCTACTATTCCCATTTTACAGATGAAGAGACCAATGGAATCCCGCCCAGCACGGGATGGTCCAGGGCCAGGGCCAGGGCGGTGGGAGGGTGTGGCCGCCAATTTGGAGATACTGGAGGGCTCAGGCTTCCCCGCCTCTCACCGGCAGCTGCAACAGCTTCAGGGCCAAGTGTGGCTTGTGCTCCCTAGACCCCCAGTTATCCGGGGTCCCCGGTGGCTTGTGCTCCCTAGACCCCCAGTTATCCGGGGTCCCCGGTGGCTTGTGCTCCCTAGACCCCCAGTTATCCAGGGTCCCCGGTGGCTGGCCAAAATGGATGGGGGCTTTACGAGTTCATGTTGTCTCATGTCTGAGCCTACCAAGACTCAGAAATATTCCTGTCCCTCCGTCCAGGGTGGCCACCAGATCTGGAAACGGCCATCTGGTGGCTCCATCTCACAGCCCAAGGGAGACAGTGGTGGTCTCTAGTGAGACCCACGTTGCTGAGCTTGGAAGAACGTGACCGCCCGCCCCTCAGTGGGGAGCGTTCCAGAAGCATGGGGCCTGATCCATGGATAAATGCCAAATAGTGAACAGAATCACCCCGGTTACCAGGGCAACCGGGGCAGCCAGATCCCCCTGCCTGTGCTCCTTCCATCAGCAAGCAGACACTGGACTCTCCGCCTGGTTCTAGTTCATCTCCCTTCCCAGATCTGAGCATCCCAAGGGTGAGTGGCACCTAGCCTGCAAGTGACCACCCACCCCTCTAACCTCTTCCAGCCTGACGCTGCTAATCAGGCAGACGTTGGACTGAGTGGGGTGAAGGACAGGGCCCAGATGGTACCAGGCCTGCGCCAGCTGGGTGCCCACCATGCACGCCCCACCAAATGCCCCTGAGCTGCAGGCCAGACACTCACCTCGTACAGCAAACAGCCCAGAGACCAGATGTCAGACTTGAAGTTGTAGCCGTTCTCATGGATCCTCTCCGGTGACATGTAGTATGGTGTCCCCACTGAAACACAGCAAAAGGATGGGTGCTTATCCTCTGTGCAGGGGCAGCACAGAAGGGAGAGGTGGGGAGGGTGAGGGCTGGGGAGAGGCCTGGCCTCAGCCTCACCAGGATCCTGGGCAGCCCCCTCACCCTCTCTTCCTGTCCCCTCCTCTGTCAAATGAGAGGGCTGGGACAGACTGGAAGTTCCCACGCTGGCAGGGCCCTAAAAGCCCCTGGAGATAGGGACCCACCCAGACCAGACAGTCGGTCTGGGGGCTGAGTGGCTCAAGACTGGTGTTTCTGCCAACGGCCCGGGGCGAGTGGGACACAGTGGCCAGGCTCTGGGAAGCAACGGACCAAAATATCCTCTAAGGTGACTGTTTGAATCCCAGAAGAGTCCAGATAAGGCTCTCAACAGTGAAAACAACCACTGTGAATGTGGACCAACCACGGTGTGTGTGTTAGCCCATTTTACAGATGGGGAAACCGAGGTTCCGAAAAGTGGCAGGACTGAGGTTCAAACACAGATCTTCAGGCTCCAGAAACTGAACTCTTAGCCACCACCCTTGGCTACTAGCACCAATCAGCATGTCCAGACTTGGGGTTGCCTGAGATTTCTTAGCCAGAATAGAAAAGATACTAACCATTATAGAAAAGATTGATTAACTGGACTTCATTAAAATTAGGAACTTCAGTTCACCAAAAAACCATTCAGAGAGTTAAAAGGCAAGCCACAGAGTGGGAGAAAGTCATCTCAAAACATATACCCAACAATGGCCTCATATACAGAATATATTTTAAAACTTCTAAAAATCAATATACAAAAGACAAACATCCCCCTCCCTCAAATTAGCAAAAGACTTGAAGGGGTATTTCACAAAGGAGAATATCCAAATGGCCAGTAAGCACATGAAACGATATTGTGTTTCTCATTACTCACCAGGGCAATGCAAATTAATAGCACAAAGAGGTACTACCTACCACCTACCCACCTGAATGATTAAAGTTAAAAAGACTGAGATAAACCAAGATGGTGATGTGCGGAGCAACTGGAACCCTCGTGCATTGCTGACGGGGCCATAAAATGGCACGATCACTTTGGAAAACCATTTGGCAGCATCTACTACAGCTGAACACTGCCTACACTACAACCCAGCAATTCCCAAGAGAAATGAGTGCTCTCATTTCTGTTCTGATGGACAATGAGTGTCCATCAAGAGACGTGATCAAGAACGTGCAGAGCAGCTTTATTCGTAATAGCCAGAAACTGGAAACAAATGGTAATCGCCAGTAGAAGAGATAAACTGATAATGTGGTCTGTTCACACAATGGAATACTAAACAGCAACGAACAAGAGCAAATCTCAGGTATGTGCCACAAAATGGATCAACTGCACAGATGCAATGTTGAGGGAAAGTAGCCAGGCACAAAAGAGCACCCACTATTTGATTCCATTTTTATCAAAAACAGGAAAAATTACTTTATGGGGGAAGTGATCAGGAAAGGGCTTGAGAGAGCTTTACTGTATGCATATCATGTCTCAATTAAAAAGCAGAGGAGTCACACTTGAATATCTGGAGCTGGGCAAAGATGGGAGGATTTCCTGACAGGTGGTGAGCTCCCCATCACCAGAGGCGTGCAAGCTGCAGCAGAGGGGCTGAATTGGCATGGCTGAGGAGGGGCCCAGGAATCTGGATTTGTAACCACAGATTTGTAACCTGAGATTCTGATATCAGTCCATTTGGAGGATGACTGTTCTGGAGGCTTTAGGACCAGATTTTAAAGGTTGCTACACAGAGGACATTTTCACTGGCCTGGAGTCACCATGTGAATGTGACAGTGGTTGCTGCTGTTTTGGCCAGAGTCTGTGAAGGGAGCTGGAGTCCAGTGTGGCGGAGGCTGATGACCCTAGGAAGGAGGGATGTCCAGTACCACATGTGGGAACACAGGGGACCCTGGGAGGGGAAGAGGCCTTTTGATGAGCTAGACTAGGAAAGTGACGGGTGCCCCGAACCAGGGGCCCAGACTTCAGGCTGTCATGGGCCAAAGATGTTTCAGAGCAACTTATGTTTGCCAAGTAAAAGTGTTTAAATAAAACACAAAATCCCAACTACCGTTTCGTGTCACTACTATTCAGTTTAACACTAGAACAAGTATTTGGGTTGGCCAAAAAGTTTGTTTGGGTTTTTCCGTAAGATCTTACAGAAAACCCAAACGAACTTTTTGGCCAACCCACATAGAGACTCCATCTCAAGATCAAGGACAGTACTCCACGTTGAAAAAGTTTAGCTGTTTGAAAACTTTATCATCTTCTTGCTTTTCTCATCTCATTGGAGATGGGTGAGAAATTCTATCATGCATGACTTGTAGAGGCTGTGAACAGTGCTGGAAACCCACGCTCCTGGCGTGAGCACGCTGGCAGCAGGACCTTGTTACCAAAGTGTCCCAGTGCCCTGCCCAGGACTGGGTCATAGCAGGCACCTTCTAAGCATATACTCACTGAATCCATGAACCCATCTGCATGTTATCAGACAGTATGTAGCAGGGTTAACACTTTTTTCCTTGTAGCCTAACACACTCTTTACTTAACTGATGTCTGCCCAAGAGGGACTACCTGATTAGTGCTTTATCAGGGTACCAAGCATCCTTTGATGGCAATAATCCCAGGAGAGCAGACATCACTTAAATACATGTTTTGCGAACTGTGTCATCCTATATGCATACTTAATGGCTGAAATCAGGGGGCTAATTGCTATTCAGCAGAAAGAGCTGTCAGTCAACACATGAACCCATGTGGGATTCTATAAGCAAACTGCGACTTCCAGTAGCAACCCCTTGTATATTTCAGCCACAAGGGAGCAAAATGAAAATGAACTGGGCAAGTGTGAAATGGATGACTTGTCAGAGCCAGACCACAGGATGAAATCCAAACAGTTCTCACCTAACAGCGGGAACCTCAGACCAAACTATAAGTGTTTCTAGCACTCAGGGTGCTGTGGGGGGACGTGCCTATGAGGTGAGAACAGTCTCCTGCAGAGAACAACCACAGGGGGCTGATGGGGTGCAGAGACAGCGGGGGAGGGGCAGAGGTCAGAGGCCCTGTCCTCAGTGAGGGACAGCAGTGCCCACCGTCTGGCTGCACCACATCCTTAAGACCCCTGGCCAACCCCTGCCCCCGACCTGGCCAGGCTGGGCGTGTGGGCTGGCCCTGACACCTCTCACCACCCTCAGTCTTATCCTCTGCTCATTCTAGATGAGTGGCCAGGCTTTGGTCTAGGGCTGCCTTGGCCAGGCCCATCTGAAAATGAAGTCTCTGAGCAGCTGTACCCCCTGCTCCAACCCCGGCCTGCCCTCCAGTTCACCTCTGCCTCCTGGTGAGTTCCTCAAGGTCAAGTTAAACTGCCCCCTCCCCTGGCCACGGAGAGCTAGCTGCCTGGTGAGGTCTGGACATTTGGTTTGTTCCCCTGTCCCTCTGCTGGGCCTCCAGATCCCTGCCTCAGCCCTGCTTGGGTAAAAGCCTGGGGGGCACCAGGGAGAGAAAAGTCGGGGGCTTCACCACCCCTTCCCTCCACTCTCCACCCCAACCTTCTACCTCTTCATTGCTCCTACTTGTACCCCAGTTTCCACTGGTGTTAAGGGGGGAAAGGCAAACGCCCAAATGTGATTTGTACTTTCTTCTAAGATGCCACTGCTGCATATGCCATTCCATCCATCCATCCATCCATCCATCCATCCATCCATCCATCCATCATCAATCCATCTGTCTGTCCATCCATCCATCTACCCACCCATCTGTATTCAATGTTAACTGCGCCTTGACGCTGTGCTGGGCCCTCCCAGGAGTGGGTCCACCAGGAGGTGGTGAGTTGCCTGGCCCAGCAAGTGTCCAGAAGGAGCCAGCTGCGCAAGGAAACACTGGACTGATCAGTGGCTGCAGCCAAATCACCTGGAAGAAGTTGTCAAAGACCTGAACCCCCAGCCCGACCCCAGGCCTGTGGAACCAGAACCTCCAGGGCTGGAACTTGGACACCTGCATCTCCCACAAGCTCCCAGAGCGTCTGATACGTGTTACAACCTGAGAGGGGCTGTGCAAAGCCTCCCAGACCTGCCCTCCTTTCAGATGCGCAGAAACATCCGTGGAACAAATGAATTCATGAAGCATTAACTGAGGGAAGTTTGGCCGGCCACTGGGTCCTCATGTTCCTGCCTCTGGGCAGCTTCTCTTGTCCTCTGACCCAGGGGAGGGGCTGCTCCCCCTTGGTCTGTGCTCTGCCTCTTCAGAGGGGTTCTCAACTTGTGCTAGAGGCATACAAAGCTGCAGGGGGCGAACACAGCACCTCGTCCTGTTTTGCCAGCTTTCCCCGGGAATAAGCCTGTAAAACCCGATTTTTATACCAACAGGAAGTGCTCAAACATTATAAAGGATAATGCACAACCTGCGTGAGTTTTAAAGATAAAAATGAGAGACTTCAAAGAAGTTCCAAGCTTGCAGCGGGCCCTGGAGGATGTGACCCTGAACCCCGGGGGAGCGGTGATTCTGGGGAAGAGAGGCAGAAGCTGGCACGGGGAGGAGCCTCCAGAGACAGTGGCCCTGAAGGCCCGGCTCCCTGTCCTGCCCAGGGGTGGGGTGGGGGGTGCCCCTGTGGGCCCTTCCAGCCAGCAAAGCAGCAGCACAGTCCCACGGAGATGCTCAGACGCAGAGCAAACACAGTCAGGGTCTCAAATCCCCTTCCAGCATCTCCCCATCAGACTTGCAGGCTCCCAGCCCCGCCCCCAGCCTCCCCTCCGGGGATGGAGCTCTGCATATAAAAGAGGAGCCTAACAAACCCTGACCTTCCCCGCGTCTTCACCTGGAACTCCCAGATTTCAAACTGGGCAGATATCAGAGGAGAACGCGGGACCTCAAAGCAGAGGCTGATTAAAGGGCCCCGCTTCCCAAGATGCGCCACTCCTGTCAAAACAAACTTGGCCGTGTTTTGAAATGCTCACGGTGTTTGAAGCATGTTCGTTAGACATGAAAA